GTCGTCATACTATAGTTGAGCAGCTTCTGATATCACTGTAGTTAAAGGAAAAACTACAGGTTAACAGTAGTTAGATTGTTATTCTTCAAATAGTAGGTTTAGAGGTCAAATCCTACTGGTAGTAAAATTTTGAAAAATAGTTTTATTTTAGTAACTTGAATAAAATATCTGAAATTGTAATTTTGTAATTCTGGTTATATCAAGACTAACTTTAGAAGTATGTAATGTTATATAAATAAATCTGAAAAATATATACTTTATATAATCTTTAACAGTATCATCTGTAAAAATCTTGATCCAGAAAAAAAAATCTGGAACAGATAATTTGTATAGACAAGAATTTCTAAATAAAAAGAGTTTACAAATCTAACTATTAGTTGATTCAGACATGAAGTTGTAAAACTTACAAGGATAGATAAGGCACTAATAAAATTGTAAAAATAAGTACTAGAGTTGTATAAACTCTACAAGAGTATAGCAGTTTAATAATTAGTTCTAATTGCAAATGTTAGTTCAGCTATAGTGAGTCTAAGTTAGTTGTAAATAAGAATACAAAAGGTTTTAAAGAGTTTATCTTAAAAATAAGATAACTTGGTAAAGTTAATATAGATTATAGATTCAGAGAGTTTAAATAGAATATTTAAGCAAAGATGTTAAATATAACAACTGATAAAAAACTCTTGGACAAACTTTTTAAATAAGTAATATAGAAAAGTTATATATATAGCCAGTTGTACATTCTTTCTATAGTAGTTTCTATAAAATTAATATTACTTAAAAAGTGTTAATAAAGTTAAAAGATCAAAAAGGTTATCTTAATGCTAAAAAATAAAATAAAAAGAAGCTATTAAAAATATATAAAGCAAATATAAAATAAATAAATAATAAAAAATATGTATTAACAAAAAAAAATATACAAAATAGAATACATATAAAAAAAATATATAAGAATAAAAAAATCAAGCTAAATCTAGTAATATATAATATTAATGAACTTAAACCAAATAATCAAAAAATTGAAGCACTTTATAAATGAATAATCAATAATAAACTAGATATAATAGGTCTAGCAAAAACAAATATTTTAACTAAAAAGAACTTTTTTATAAGAAAAATATAAAAGATTATAAAAGCATTTAGTTAAGTATAAGTTTAAACAAAAGAAAAATTCAAATATAAAGTTATTACTTAGTAAAATTTAAAAAAACTATTTAGATCAAATAGAAAACAAATAATATATATGATTTCAATTAGTTATTTCTTTAAGCAAATAGAAATTAGAATTATAATTATTTATTTATTACTAAACAATAAAGAAAAAAAATCCAAAACTTAATAATTAACAAATATATTAAAAGTTTACTAAAAATACAAATAGTAGTTATAAATAACTTGAATGAAATAATAAGTACAGACTTGAATAAATTACTAAGCTAAAAAAAAAAAGAAGTCAAATTAGATTTACTTTTTAGTTAATTAAAAAGATAAAAATTTAATGATATATTAAAATAAGAAGATGTAGTAACTTAGTAAAGTAGATAAGTTGTTAATCTTTCAAGTAGCAAATTGTAAGTTTAAAACCTACTGAAAACAAAATTTAAAAAAATATACTTATATTATAGTAATAGTATTCTGTTAATTAGTTAAAATAAGATATCTGTAACTATAATCACATTAGCATAACTGACAGGTCAAGAAGTATTTGTATAATCTTTGTTATACAGAGAAATACAAACTGGTATTAGGTAATACAAACCTAAGATAGATTCTTGTAATCATATAAATCTGTAAAATTAGAAAAACTAAAACTCATTTAAAAAGACTTAAATAAAAAGATAATATGAATTTTTAACAATATTGTTATAAAGGTTAAATCTAGAAAATTAATATCAATATAGATTTTTAAATAAGAGATACTATCAACCAATATTAGGCTAGACTCAATATATTAAAAACAGATTATAGTTTTACTAGGTTATCTGAATTAGGAGTTAAATAACAAAACAGAAATATACTATAAGTACTAAAAATATGTTGTAAAATTGGTACTAGAATCTTACATTTTGCAAGAGCAAGTTTTATTAATTTTCTATAAAAAGTAAGTAGATTAGTTAACAAAAAACCTTTCTAAAGCCTTACAGTTAGATGACATATTTTGAAATATATAACAATTTAACCAATATATAGAAAAAAAGTTCAAATGTTAAGTTAGATAGCACTAACAAGTATATAAGAACTAATGTACTATTTGTCAGATGCAGTATAAAGATCAAAATGTTTAATTAGATAATATTCTAACAGATTACAGGTATGATAACTAATGTAAAAGATTATTTAAATAGGTAACTAAAAATTACATATGTGATTAGTTGCATATTTATTATGTATAAGTTATATAACAATAATTAAAAACACAATAAAAACAATAAAAACAATAACTGCTATTAACATTAGCTTTAGTAAAAAAAAAATACATTAGAAAAATTAATCCAAATTTAAAAGAATTTTATAGTCTAGATGAGTGTCTGACTCAAGAATAAACTACATATAAATTATTGAAGAATTAACAAATAATTTTTATAAAGTAAAAATTCAAAAGATAAATATTTGTACTAATAGTAACTACAATGCAATAATAGCAAAAAATAGAACCAAATCATCTAATTATACTATATAATGCAACAGAAATAAGAAAAAAAAACTTCAAAAAAATTTTTTTGTATAATAAAGATTTAAAAAAGATTGCAAAAATTACAAACAAGATCTTGATATATGTTTAAAAAAAAATATCAGTATTCAAGATTTTCAATGATTTTTACAAATAAATAAAATAAAAATATTAATAAAAGCAATTGTATAAATAAATAATGAAATTTGATTAGTAATAGTATTATTATAATAGCAAGAAAGAATATTTTAAAAAAGAAAATTTCAAATATAATATTTAAAAAAAAGGACAAAAGAACTTCAATTAAGTAAAACACTTATGTAACTAAAAAAGTGAATAAGCATAGAAAAGATAAATATTAAACTAGGTTTTATAGAGAACAATATAGATGATCTAAAAGAAAAAATTAGATACATTAATGAACAACATGAAACATATATAGACTTAGCACAAAATTGAACCTAAGAGCTTGTTCATAATGGTTTAATTTTTAATAAGTTATTTTTGAACTAAAGAATAGAAATGGAATAATTAAAATAGATGAACCCTATTTGCATTTCCTATTGCGCTCCTTAATAATGTTAGATTTCACTACTGATTCGCTATTATATTAGGTTAGAAAGAACTTTATTCATGCAAAAAAAAATTCGCGGATCAACCTTTTTTGGCGCAATGAAAGTTTTGTTACACCTGATCTAAAAATTGGTTGGCTGAAATGTTTTAGAGTAACAAAATTAAAACTTCCAGCCATGGGCAGGCGCAAGACTTGTTATAAAATTCAAGTTTAACGTTACAATCAACAAACCAAAATTGCATATCGATATTACTTATGCACTTATCATAGTGAGCAACGTAGACACTGGTTAAAGTAAATCTGGTAAATTTCATAGATTGATATGATCCAGATTAAAATGGCGTCATTCGTGTCATATTGGACAGTCATTAGAACCAATAGAACTATCGACAAACTAATAGCTTCAGTCTGATATGCCTGATAATGAACGAATGGCGCATTTTCTGACGTCACGTCACTCAAATTTTAGTATTATCGTTCTAGAATAGGTTGGAAATCATACGACGTTTTCTGACTTGGATAATTCGGGCTTGTAAATCACACATTTACCCTTATTGATTTGATAATTCAATAAACTATTGAATCAATAGACTAAATTTTAAATACAAGCCGATATTTTTAGTCTTCTGAATTATTCTGATCGGAAAATGTAAGGTAAAAAAACGCACCTATCGCTATGTATTGTAAGAGTAAAATTCTTTTACGTAGAATTATCCATTACATTACACTACACTAACACTACGTAGTTGATTTTGCCTTCATCTTATCTTATAATCATACACATGTAATTGCATATAATTAATGATAATAATGATAATTTTTTTACATGAATCAGATTCGAACTAAACCAACTAAAGCGAACTTATGGATTTTAACGACTTTGTAATGATAATCTATATAGATATCAATATTGAGAAAACAATATTTATAATTGTTAATTACTTAATATAACATTATGGCGTATTTGTGTTTACTTTTTTTGATATTTCTTATCGTAAGATCATATAGATAAAGTCTAACCCATTTTTTTTTCACGGTAAAATTGGGTAGAAGTTTATCCATAAAACTTTACAATTTTACAATATATATAATATCTATAATAAGATATAATAAGACTTTTACAATAAGGATAAAAAAAAGGAATGAAGCTTAAATTACACAAATGCGGTATAATTACCAAAATAATAACAAAATCGTAACAAAATTAGTAAAAAAACAACGGATTTCCCGAAAATTGAATTCCAATACAGTAGAATTTATGATAAGTTATTAGTCATGTTAAAAAAAAATAAAATACGTAAAATGATGCTATCATTTTATTATCGTATAATGAGATTTAGAAAAAAAAATTCTGTTACATTCGTATCTCTCCCACGTACTAGCATATGTACCATAAATATTTTCATGAATGTTTATCGATAATTTATGGCACCAGTCATGATTGCATTCAGCATCTACATCTAAAAAAGGAAGATTGAATACCGGAATTTCGGATATCCGGAAATTACGGAAATTACGGAAGATGAAATCCCGAAAATCACATGATTTTCTTTGTATAACATTAGACCAATTAAATTTATTTCATTATTTTTTATGTAAAAAATGTAACATATTGATACGTATTGATATTAACAAAATTAGCGGTAAAATGGAATTTTTTTTTTATTATTTTACAATGAAAAAATATATGTAATGTGTATATACAAAAATTTACTACGAAAGTAAAATGAATGATATAATGTTTATGAAACGAAATATTTACTGTTCAATTTCACGACTTTCCACCAAATGATGTTTATGTCCTTTTGATGATGCATGATAAGTACAAACATCAATTCCCTTAAACCATTCATCATCAAAAATATCTTTAATGGTAGCACGATTTTCTACATTTACATCGAGCATTTTTTTGATTAATGATCTTGAATTTTCGGGAATTCTTCTAAATAATCTATCAGGATTTGAAAGATATGCCTTGAATGAAGATTCGCTAGGTTTTGCAATCATCCAAGGGAATCTACCCATGTGCATACAAATAAATATTATTCCCATCGCCCAGACATCGGCTAATCGAGGATCGTAAAGGGTTTTATTATAAGATTCTGGACATATGTATGGATCAGAACCACATGGACCTAGAAAGATTTTTTAAAAAAAATAAAAAAATAAAGGATTAGATATATAAATAAAGAAATTAATAAAGTATAAATGATAAATAAAAGAAAAATAAATACCTTTGTAAAGAGAAATTTTACTATCGAAAGGATTTTTAAAGACAGTAGAACAACCAAAGTCGATTAATTTTAGAATTCCTGATTCATCCAACATACAATTGTCCAATTTTAAATCTCTATGAGCAATACCCATTTCGTGTAAATAATTTACACCGTTAACCAATTGTTTAAAACAACAAGCGATCTCATTTTCACACATCTTTTTAGTCATAACAGACTCGAATAAATCAAAAGGAGCAAATTCCATAATTTCATATAAATGATCATTTTCTTGTACAATATCTAAAGTTTCTATTACGTTTTCATGATGAAGAGTTGAAGCTATACAAAATTCAGCTAAAATTTTTTTACGATAAGATTTTTCTGATTCGTAAGAAAAACGAGGTCTAAATTGTTTTATGGCGAATTTTTTGTTATCACAGGAACGGTGGAATAATCGTACGGAACCGCCAACACCGGAACCAAGATGTTTGCCCCATTTACCATGTTTTGAGATTTGAACGTTTTTATAAGAAGAGAAAGATTTTTTAGAATTTGATCTTGAAGGAGTTTTAAAAGCACGTTTTAAATCACCGAATAGAGTAGATTTTCGTTGAGAAGGTTTATTAAAGATGAATTGGGGAGGAGTAGATTTAGAAGGATGAAGAGAATTTGAGACAGAAGAATCCATAGAAGTAGACCGAGAGAACTCATCGATACTGAGTTGAGGAGTAAGGTCATCACGACTCATAGTACTGTTGGAACCTAATAAATGTATTTGATGCATTTTTGAATCCTCGTTTTGTATTGGAGAAGAAGATATAGAAAGACCATTTAAGGAGATTGAAAAATCTGTAGGATTATTATATACTTCAATAGGAGATTGAGAAGGGGATGAAGGTAGTATAGAAGTAGTATTTGAATAATCAGTTCTGTCATCTATCCATTCTTCTTTGAATAAAGGAATATCTTCACGGATCATTACTTGCGATGAAGGAGTTGTTAAAGACTTTTTTTGAGTTGAAGAAAAATGTATACTTGAAGGTTGAGTAAAAGTATAATCAAGAGACATTCTTTTTAATATAGTATAATTTTAAACAATGACTCTATTTTCTTTATCTAAATACTTGAACGAAAGGCGATTTAGGAGTCAATAGTAAAGTGATAGAAAAATCTGATATTTTTTTGATATGCAGCTAAAAAAAAAAAGAAAGCTCGGGAGAAATTAATGGTATAAATAGTTTTTCATTATTATTTTATCGTTATTATTATTATTAATATAAATAATACTAATTTAATTAATGTAATGCTGATATCAAAAGATCATCAAATAAGTTCAATAATGATTTGGTTACAAAATTTAACCGGCAAATACTTTATTCGGATAGGTTAATTATGTCATTTTTTTTATTAAATGTTTATTGTAGAGAATAAATAAAGAAGGGCTAGACGCAGGTTCACGCAGTCAAAAAAATAAATTATACATATGAATAATAGTAAAATGTAAACATTAATGTACAACAAATACACATGTATAGTTTCTGGACAACTCTCGACCACAAAGTTCCTGCGGTATAATTTCGAATTGCATAACTTCGTTTCCTGCGGTGATTTACTACGGTAGATTTAATGTAATTGAAATTAGTCATGGATATTCAAGTCATTGACGTAATTCTGAAGTTATTATGAAGCTTTGTGCTAATCATATTTAACATAATGATAAATTGTGTGCACTTCAAACAAGGAACAAACTTTTAGCAAGCCAAAAAAGTAAATTTAATCATATTCGATCATATTTTTAAAAAAAATACTAGTATACGACATACGGATATATACGGAATACGTATACGAAAATATATATGAAATAGATATTTACCAATCTTTTCAACTTTTTGTAAAATTATGTTCTAGACAATATCCCCTAAACTTTATTAGTCTCCGTATTCATTGAACATATTTGTTTGTTACTTATGCTTGCACCCACATGGCAATTATTATAGTATTGTGGACCCATGTTAAGATTGTACCCCCATTCGGTCCATTCGGTGAATTTTTTTATCAACTGGAAAACTGAAATGCCGTTGAAATATTCTAGACTTTTTTTTTTTTATTGTTACAGGATTTTCGAAACTGATCGACCAAACCTATATGAGAAAAATGAACTATCGGACCTTAGCCAGGTCGGTCTGGACCATCTATTATATGTACATGTGTTCGTACATATGTACGTCTAAGGTTTTAAATATCCAGATTTTGAATAAGACAACCAATAAAATTGTTCCGTTTCAGAGTCGAGACAGACTAAATCGATCTCCAATTCCACATACATATTCTGTGAATTTAGGGTTTGAATCTTAATTAGGTCCTTCGAATGACAAGAAACTTATGAATTACAAGAAATCCTAAAATAAACAATAAGAAATTCTAATGTAAACAATAGGAAATTCTAATGTAAATGATCAGAAACTTTAATATATATGATAAGAAACTTTAATATATATGATAAGAAACTCTAATATAAATGATAATAAAATGACAAGTAACCTTAATTTAAATGATTAGCAACCTTAGTTTAAATAATAAGCACCAATAAGAACGATGTTTCCATCTAGAAAACTTGACTCCATCTTTAATAATAAAAAATTAAAAAATGGTTTTATTTCTGACACATGTTTCTGACTTCAATTTTTAGTACGTACGTCAGAAACATCGTTCGTATTTGCTATTTTTACTGACCCTTCAAATCATATCGATATATCGATAAGTCGATCCCCTGCATTTTTGTCATTCTCTGACAATGATTTTCGAGATTTATTTTTAATACGAGTTGTAAAAGTAATGTAAAAAATCATTTACTAATACATAATATTATATATAATAATTATTACGTATTATTATTTCATTTATTTCATTAATAATTTCTCAAATGATGATCTATATATTTTTGTCTAGCAGCTAGTACTTATCGCTATTTACGACCCAAACGTTAATCCTGTTTCTGAATTACAATTGGAGAATCCTTCAGTCTGACATCCTGACATGTCTTCATAATCTTCTTGATACCCATGAGCTTTTCCTTCATTATGTTCTAAATTACAATTTTCTGTGTACATACAAGGAGGCTCAATTTGTTCTGTATACATGCAAAGAGGCTCAATTTTTTCGGTGCACATGCAAGGAGGCTCGATTATTTGTCGTCTCATTAAGTAAACCTTTCTTATTCTCCTTCGTTTTAATAATTCTTCAATTGGTTCTACTACCATATTTTCTTGAACTGGTCCACATCCCGCTCCTAACCGATTCTTGATTATTTCTTTATCTACTGTATTTATAGGTGTACCTGCATGTATGAAATTCGATTGTTGTCCTTTCATACCTTGATCTTCTTCCTGTATGTCACAAGAACTACCAAAATTTTGTTCGTTGCTACCTTTATCAAATTTTTATATTAAATGTTTAATTCAAAATTATTATTATTATATACGTATTATTATATTATTATATTATTATATACACTTACTTCCATACATTTGATTTGATTCCATACCATCAGCCATATCTACAAGTAAAGGTTCTCGACGAAGAATTGCTGTAAAACTATTTTCATTTTGCCCGAGTCTTTCAATTTGTTGCTCTTGTTCATCAAGTTCTTCTAAACCATGTAATTCTCCAAAACTTGATTGAAATTCATTATTAGATAAACATGATCCTGTGACTATTTTTGGTATAGGGCATCCTACTGGACAAATCGGGCAAGTAGCTGGTTCAATTACTGGGCATTCTACAGGGCAAGTATCGGTTTGAATTGGGCAAGTAGCTGGTTCAATTACTGGGCATTCTGCAGGGCAAGTATCGGTTTGAATTGGGCATGTAGCAGGTAAAATTATAGGTGCTTGTCTTGGGCATATTTCTTCAAAAGGAAATGAAAGAACTAACGAACAAGTCGTTAAAATTATTAAAATTATTAACATTATTACAATAACGCATTGATTCCCCATCTTTTTGTTGACTTATACTACTCAAAAAAAAAAAAAAAAACTTATTCATAAACGATAATTAAAGTCAATTTTATAAAAAGATATTGATTTAATCATTTCAAAGATATATCAGTTTGATACTTTATTTTAATGCGATGTTTGATTTGATCAATCTTTATTAAAGTCATGTGATTTGTCTGATGCATATGAAAAAAACAATACGTATCTCTATTATGAATTATTCGTGTTATATTATTATCGTAACTATGTAGTATTATATGTTATATCTTAAACCTTCTTGCAGCCAAATTTGCGATCTATCAAACTATATTGAATCATATTCTATATTTCAAACTTTTATAATAACATGGGACAGTTAAGGATTATGCATATGTAATGCATGTTTTAAATCATCTCTCGGTGTTTCTTGCATAAAATTTTATTCACATTCATGATTTGTTTAACGTCAATGACATATTGGTTTTAAAATTTACGTATAATATATAAAGTACGTAGTATAGTATGAATAATAAAAGTAGTAGCATAGTACTACTTTAGATCTTTATACTACTTATAAGTATACTTGTATGTATGCATGCTACATATGTTCGACTACATTGACCTAGCATTACCAACCTAAAAAATTTCGCTGACCAATCATATTTCAAGATCAGGTGGTGCGTAGAAGAAACATAACTCGATATTTTACCTATGAAACCACCTTCTGCGCATTAACAAAATGTTTTTCTTGCAAATTTTGGTATTAAGAACCTTCTTTTTTTTTTTTTTAACCTAAACTAATAGCAAAACCTAACTCTAATCTAGCAGTGAAACTTTTTTGGAGAAATTTTTTAGGTTGGTAATGAATGAGCTGTATGTGAGTTGGTGCGCTTTTGCCATGGATAAGGTGTCGGAAAATAATTGAAACATCTCAACGGCGCATGTATGAGGCGTTTTAAGTTTCATACATGCTACTGAGATACATTTTATTATTTCAACTTTTAGGGGAATAAAGTGCTTTTATCCGGCAGCTTACTATTATTTATCTGCCCAATAACTTTATTATTGGCCAGAAATGAAAGTTTAAAAATAGTTTAAACTTTGCATCTGCCCAATAATTTTATTATTGGGCAGAAAATAATCATAAACCGCCTGATAACTATTTATTGTAATTATTATAATCATAACAACGGTAATAGGATTTTGTAACCAAATTTGTCTCACAATTTAAAATTATAAATATGCAAACAATAAAATATGAATATTGGTCTTTTTTTTTCTGTTTAAACGTTGAACAAAAATTCGATATGTCTACTAAGGAAGAGAATTCTGCAATATGCATTGATGAATGCAAAGAATTAAACCAAGAAACACTTAAAGATTCTGACACTACTATTCTTTCATCCTCAAATCAAATTATAAATGAACAATCTTCACCCCAAAACATTCAAATTCCCTTGAAGACTACCACTTTTTCTACCTGTTGTTCACAAGGAAACTCACCAACTTCTGCTCCTTGTGAATCTGCATACTTTGATGTGTATGGAGTTTCATCTATATCTGCTACATCGAATTGTTGCATAAAATCAACAACCAAACAACCTGATAACAATTAATTTCTTACCATGATAAATAATTGAAACGATCTAACAAGATTCTTCGGTTAGAAATTCTTTCCACCCTTTTTTTTTTGTCATTTATCAAAAGATGTATGTAAAACAATAGTTGATTTTTTTTTATTGTTCACTTTATATAATTTCAATTTCTTTATGGCATATACTACTTGCTTTACACTATTGTATTTTTTTTTCTAACGATGATAAAAAAGAAATATATATCAATACCTATCCCATATACAAAAATTAAACTATTTATATACTAGTTTTAAGTAAAAGAATCAATTCCTTGTGTATGCGATATAAAGAAAATTCCTAACAAAGGTTAATTTATTAATTTTATTTACTGTAAAAATATCAAATGAAAAAATATTTTGTATTCACACCTCATGATCATTTTAGTATTCACAAGAATCACTCCAAAACGGTATTAAAACCTGACTACGATCTAATAGCCTAAGTTGCTCTTGTGATTTAATAATCAAAATTCGTTAAGTTTCAAAGCACTAATTTTCGTAGTATTTTTTACTAAGATTCTTAATAATGAAATAGCGCTCTTAATGCTGATGTTAAATCTTAGAGTCGTGAGAAATATAGCACCCTCAATTCGATTTCTGATATTAGATTCCGAGATATATCTTGGAGTCGTGAGAAATTGCTTATTTCGTCCCAATGAATAGAAGAACTTTAGCTTAAATTTCAATAAAATCAGATTATGCAAAGTGGCTCCACCTTCAATAAATAATTTAAAAAAATAATAATAATGTGATGTATTGGAAGATATAATAAGTAATAATTCTCACTAAAGAGGATCAATTTCCAGCTTACTTATTCGAAACATAATCCTTTTCTTCGATCTCAATTCATTTCTGATTAGATAATAAATTAGGTAGTGGATTATACAATTATCAACACGAGTTTCATAATTGATTCACTCGCAAAATTTTTCAAAATCATCTGCACGTCGCAAACGTTCCAACTTGACCTATTATAAGAAAAGTATTATTAGCAGTGCACTTTCTCATTAGAGATAAAAAGTAGGTACATAGCTCTCCCTTCAGTATCAACAAACTTTTATCAACAACAAAATTAGGGCGCCTGAATAGAGGACTTGGAGTGGTTACCAAGAGGTCATATCCAGTAATTCTATCGAGCACAAGCCTCAAGCATCAGTACTGAGAAAGAACGTTCGCGGTAAACCGTGGTCACGATATGCTTTCAATTTTTCAGACCAATGTCCGGATGAGGGTCGCCAGGAGTTACCCTCCCTTTGCGAAATGAAAAACGCACCTTCTTTGTTAAATCTGTGAAACCTTTTTTGTCTATTAACTTTTCTGCTTCTTTCAAAAAATCGTTGAGCTCAAGTATTATCAAGCTCATGCCAGTGATTTGAGAAAGCTGGATTAATTATTATATCGCGGTGGTGGTTCAGAAATTTGTAATACAAATAATTATCTTTATCTTGTTCACGTAAGTAGGAAATGAGGGCTAGTCGAAAACACCTTCAAAATTAAGTAATCTACTTTTATATGACGCATTAGGATGCATAGTGAAAGAGGCGTTTAAACTTGGTATAATTTTATCAACCGCCTTAAATGTATCTTTCAAGATTTCTGGATCTTGAACAATGATTATACATATTGAATAATTTCTCAGAACTAGGAAGGATCTAAATTTGTACATTGACCAGTAAATTCAGTGTAAGATTTTGGCGTTCCTTCAGCAAAAGTTGGCCTTAACCCGTTACATATGTCCAATGCTAATTTATTATGTGGTATAGAGGCCATTATATATTTATGAGAGAAATTGACTTGGTGAAAATACAATGAAAATTACAAAGTCAAGAAAACTTACCTTCATGCCCAAGTGCCCAAGATATTTGGAAATACTCAGTTGATTTAAAAAAAAAATTAGATTATAACAACGTATTGTTACGAAAATCGTAGATAACAAAAATAATAAGTAATAGTAAAAGATGTAATTTTCATCGTGAATCAGACGTGCGTTTTATTTTTTCGTTCGCGTCACTATATTGTGCTGCGCGACGTTTATATGTATTTAATCCTGATCTCGCGTAACGCAAAAAAATCAAAACGCTCGTAGCTCAAAATTTTGCCTATGAAAGTGCCTTCTGCGTACTAACAAAAAAAAATTCCTCGTGAAATTTTACTATAACTATGATCCTTTAACTTACTGGTGGGACCCTAACCCTAAACTAATTGCGAAACAATTTTTTTAATAAGATCACATAGTCGGCGAAGTTTTTTGGGGTGGTGATGCTAGACTTATATTCAAGGACTAAGACCTTTAACGTTAAGTTATAACTCTTTTGGTATTCGAATTTAAGTGAGTTCGGTGTTTTTATATAAAACCAGCATTTTTTATCATATGAATACCCTTAGTTTAACTAGGAAATTCAAATCCACTTAAATTCCTGACTAAAATTATAACAATGCTTAATTTTATAAAAAATTCAACGATATATTTAAAGCTCTTTATATATTGCAGTAAACATTAAATGACATTTATTTTATTATCAATAACGATGTCATTTAAAATACCAAGTATAATCAAAAATATTTATATTTAATAAAGTTTCCACCGCTTATTTCTTTAGTGATATTTAATTTATCCGTCTATTGCAGTTTTATAAATTTTTTTTTTTAGGTAGTTTATATTGCAAAACCATATTATAAAGTTCACCATGGTTTATCAATTCATAATAAATATTTTTAATATAATTATCAATTTATATTTGCAGAACTTATAAATTGAATTCATACCTAATATCGATATAAAATTTAATCCCACCAGTCTATACGTATAATTGCCTGCTTCTTGTGAAATATAATATGATCCAAACTTGTTATATTCTTGATTCTCATCAAATGTCACAAAGGGTGCGATACTGGGGAAGATATCTAATTCGCAGTTCGACCATATGATCAACAAGCACCGAAAGATAGAGCATTCTTTTTTATTTCAAAGAAATGTCTGATCCTGATTGCTTATTTTGAGAGTTATGACAAAGAATGATGGCGTCTTATGTCCATAGAACGATTTAGAAGGCTCTTGGTTGTTATTATATATGTGCTAAAACGATTTAGAAGATTTATATTTCTGGTTTTTATTATACATGTGATAGAACGATTCAGAAATTTTGTTTCTGGTTATTAGCATTGTGTTGAACGATTAGAAGATTTATATTTCTAGTTGTTATTACGCTTATGGTAGAATGATTCGGAAATTTTGCTTCTGGTTGTTATTATACATTGTATTGAACGATTTAGAGGTTTTGCTGAAATTTTCGGTGCCCCATCATCAACCTTGCTTTGTAAAGTAATGCTATCAATAATATAATACTTTATTTACTTCTTTTTTTTTCTCTAAACAACATCCGCATCCAAATATGAAATCATTTTTTGAAGAGCACATATATGAGTGTAAAAAGGTTAGTGTTTACCTTTCTATTATTAATAAAAGTTAACGTTTTTTATTGATATTCACCAACTTCATTATATTAGTATCAATATTGACATTTTAGATGAAGCACGGATGCGTAATGCCCCAAGAATTAATCTCAAATATGTCGAAAGCATTTGGGATAAGGCCTGCAAAAAGATGTTCTATGGGCGTTAGAACAAATTAATTCTTTAGTTTCTCAAAGTGTTAATATGAAGTATCATGCTTAATGGAATTACCAATAATTACTCAGTGCTTTTAAAACAACTTGTTCCTAATGAAACTTTGAGTCAACACCAGGAAGTAACGAACTTTCACAAGTTATTGGAATTAAATAAGTTTGTGCAAACAGTTTTTCTTTTTTTTGTTTTAATAAAGCTTACCTTATACTAGCGATACATATTTGTCCTGTGAAATAAAATTCCGATTAATAATCTTTATTATATAAATATGTACAGTTACATTGCTATTTACCATGCACATATTTGCCTTCACAAGAGATATTAAATGATCATTAAAAAAGATTTATCATGTAAAATTTAAAAAACGGTTAAGCGAATAATTTAACGGTTTTTAATCGTTCATAAATTTTTTTTGGTTTAACCGTATAATATAAATGAAGAATTAATAAACGGTTAAACAAACCATAGTTCCAATCCTTACAAAATTAGTAATATTTTTAAAAATAAAACTTTATGTGATTATATATCTAGATGTTGATATTAAGGCTATCCCCTTTAACAGTTTTGCAAGTGTAAATTTTGATCAAAATTGTTTTTGTTAAATAAATCATAATATATAGTCTTATATTACTCGTGAAGTGCTTTTAGTCAATACAATTTTTAACTGCTTTTTAGTTTAATAAATGACCCTTGTAGAAGCTACATGGGAGTCAAATCACAAGTTATTACAGGACGTGTCATTTATATATATACCTATCGGGTTGAAGTGTTAGTGACAATTTAAAAATTTCGATATTATTGATGTCTGAAAATTCATACTCTCATGACTCGATTACATACGCTAATAAATTCAATTTAAATTTATATTATTTATACAGTTTAGAGTACTTTTTAAAAAAACGAAAACTAATCATAATAAATTAAAAAAAAGCTGTATAAAAGGGTTCATTAGAGCTAGAGGACTAAAATAAATTATTACTATACCAACTTTTTTAAACGGACGAGAATTAGATCTTATTTTGGCTATGAAGTCCTACAGCTCTAATGAAACCTTCTATACAATTTTTTTTATTTCATTATGATTAGTTTTCTTTTTTAAAAAGTACTCTAAACTGTATAAATAATTTAAAATTAAATTGAATTTATTAGCCAATCAGACAAACTTCTGTCTATGAGCAATAAGGGCTGAAGTCTCCCCTGAAAAATGAACAACCAACGAAAACGCTGGATAACTCTCACCATTCACATGATTTAAATCGACCAATAAAATTGACACATATTTTTTCATTTTATATGTCCAAGAGTTCTAAAAGTGATGTTAACCGAAAATTCAACTTCAAGCGGCCTAATTTACAATTAAAAGGAATAATAGTAGATATTATACGACTTGCAAAGATAATTGAATAAACCTATGTGTAATATTCATAACCATAACGTTGTGTAATGTGTTAAATTCATTCACTTATACATATATATAATACGTACAGTACATACAGAATTATGAAATTAAAAACACATGGATTGGTTATTTTTCATGAGTAGTGCTACCGAATGAGCATTGTTCAAGCATATAAATTATGATGATGATATTTTTCTGCATGTAGAAAACATTTAATAAATGTATGGATGTTCCTTTTTTGGAGGTAAAAACAAAGTTCTTCAAGAAAAACAAAAATTCTTACCCGAAAGAAAGAAAACTTTGTTGTTTTTTGTTTTTTTTTTCAAATTGTACTTGTATTCAATGAGCACACATCAGCATTCAATACCTGAAAATGGTTTAACTACTACAAACACGTCTCATTCAAAGATTACAATAAAACCTCTTCCTACAATTTCAAGATTATCAACAAATTCAGCAGAAACACTTGAAAACATTTCTATAGAAGGAGATGAAACTGACCAGACAACATTAATAAAGGAAAAGAATGGATTACCGATACAAGCAGCTAAAGACCAAGAAGAGTCATGTGATCGTAAAAATTCCAAGTCGTTGTTAGGAAGGCCACTTTCATTTCTAAATCGTAAAGAAGAAAGACAGTCACAATTAGTAAAAATACATAAATATACAATTTATGATAATGAAAAAGAAGAATTTATTGAAATTGTAGAAGAAGAATGGGAAGGTGATGGACCACCACCACGACAATCTGTAGCATCACAACATAAAAGTATTGTTTTTGTTGATAAAGATTTACCAAGTTTACCCGAACCAATTCCCAAGAATGAAGAAAATAAATTTATAGAATTTTATAAATGGGCAGAAAATAAATGGCTTCAAAACAAAAAAAGAAATATAATTATTTTAGGAGTTATTTTATTTTTATTTTTTCTTCTTATCATCCTTGCTGCAGCAGGAGTTTTTTCGAATAATACAAAAAATAATAATAACCAAGGAAATGTTCAGGATCATAACATCAAATCTACAACTTCTTTTAATTCTTTCAAACCTACACCTTCTTCTAATCATGGCTCTTAATGTATGTAATCAAATATTTCTTTTTGATTAATAACTTTTGGATTTTAAAATTAACTAATTTTTTTTTTTTAACTAGAATCGGAATAGTATAATTATTCAAAGCTTTTTAGAATCTCGATACGAGTTAAATCAAATATTTCAATTTTTATATAGTTATCTTATTTAATAAATTATTATTATTATGATTATTATTATATTATCAATATATATTTTTACAAGAGACAATTAGTTTTTAAACTATTAACTTTTAAAAATATGTTGCAAGCAATGTAAAATTTATTTTAAAAATTATTTACAAGCGAGTATTAATAAAGTTATAAAAATTAAAGATTTCTAAAAATTTTTAATCTAAAAAAATTTTTTATTCTTTATATAAGACCATGCAAAATTAATTTATTTCATAACCCGGCCGGGTCAAAATTCGAAAAATTTTTTATATCTATTTTAATAACCGGGTGGGGCTTAAAAAAAAATTTATAAAATTTTTATATATGAAATTTAAAAAAAAAAGCCGGCTAGCTGGGTCTGTTTGAAATTTTCATGTTATGAAAACCAAGAAATTAAATTTGCGTGGCCTAATGTTGGAATACTGAAAATTTTTAAAAATTATGAAAAAAATTATATTAACTTTTAGCAATTTTTACTATTAAATTTGCTATTTTTTATACACTTTAATCATAATTTTCCTCTTAACTATTATTCAGCATTTTAAAATTTTTAATTGAAATTATAATTATTAGGTTTACTATTTGAATTAAATAATAACTTACCTCTTCCAGCATCATTAGTAATTTATCATGCTTTTGAATTTTATTTCATTATACTTTTTTTGAACATTTTCATCTAATTGTTCAAGAAGAATTTTAATTTTACAAATAATTTTTAATTTGGTTATCTTAGTTTCAGATTTTTAAATAATTTTTTCTTTTTTTATGATTGGAATTAACCTAAATAAAGGTACTAAATTATTATTACAGAAAACATTCGTAATATATTCTTTTGGGGTTTTCGTACTAAAGTAAAATTTAACAAATATAAGCTTAATTACAAATAATTTTTAAATTTATTGGAGTTTGGTAAAACTTAAATTAAATATCAAAATAATAGAGATATAGGGTGACATTAATAGAAATAGAACAAATTTATTAAATATATTTGTTTTATTTTTATTGATGTCATCCTATATGTTGTGAAGTAAATACTAAATTTGTGTAAACTTTACAAAGACATAGCAGTTTAATAGTTAGTTCTAACTAGACCAGTTATAAGAATGAAATACAAAAATTTAGTATAAAGTCAAAGGTTCTTTGTATGAGTAAACTGTTTTAAAAGCTTAGTAATTATAGTATATACATTAATATTGATTAGAATAATTAACAAATATAAGTAGATAAATAGATACAAAAACTAATGTATTTAAATAAAAAACTTACAAATGATTCTAAATATAATAACTAGTATAAAATCTTTAGGCAGATTACTTAAATTAGATAATAACTAAAGTTATCTAAATAGTTAGTTATATACTTTTTCTATGGTTATTCTTTATAATTATAAAGTAATTATTAGCTAAATATATTATTAATTTTTTTTAATATTAAAAAGAGTACTTGTCAATTCTATTTTCTTTAAAAAAATTTTTATTATAATTACAAATATTTAATATCTTATTAAAATTTTAGCTAATCTTTTTTTTAATTATTATAATTATATTATACTAATTTTGGGCTTATAAATTTTTATACTATAAAAATAATATTAATTAAATAAAAATAATTATATTTTTTTAAAAAAAATAAACTTTGAGAATATAGTGACCTAGTGAAATGGTCAAGTTGTCAACCTCTCAAGTGGTAGATTGGGTATTCACATTTTATCGATAATAAAAATTTAGATAATCACCTATAAAATATTTGTATTACAGTAACTGTTACTAATGATTGGATTAGGATACTTATAATGGCAATCACATTAGCATGGCTAGCAGATCATAGAACATTTGTGTAACTTGTTATATAAAAAAATACAAACCAACAAATCAGATAGTGCAAATACTAGATAAGTTCTTATGTTTATGTAAATCTGATAAAATTGTATAACAAGAAGTTCATTTAGAAAGACCTAAATAGAGAGATAGCTGGATCTTTAATGACTTTATTATGAAGACTAGTTTAGAGAAATGGATACCAAGTTGTAGTATCCAGTCATAGTAGCTAAATGGGCAAGAACCTCTAGGTTAAGAGCAGTATAGGAAATCTAATATTCTTATGTTTCAAGAGAACATGTTTTTAAATTTAAGAACATTTGTTACTTTGAATATATTTTCTATAAAAAAATTATTGAGAACATATTGCTTGATAAATATGTTCTTTATATAGTATAGTATAAATAAAGTTAACAATTAGAAAATAAGTTAGGTTTAAAAAATTCTGAAAAGAAAATAAATAAATATTAATAATAAGCAAGTTTGAGCCAAAAATTTAAATAAATTACTGATATTATTCAAAAAAATTTAAAAAATAGTACCAGAAATTTTTGTTATTAAGAATATAAAATTTTTTTTAAGAACATTTAATTAAATAATTGTATTCTTATAAGAACATCAATTTTAAAACAGATTTCTAACACTGGTTAGGAGTCTCAAAGATATTACCAATCAGACTGCCAAAATAAATTAGAAAAAAAGAATATTAGACTAACCTAATATATTGATAAATTAGTTGTAGTTTTACACAAGCTATCTGGATTAAAAGTTTAGTAAAAAGACAAATGAAAAGGTAGAAGTATACTAAAATACTGAGGTTATGCTGTAAAATAGATGTTAAAATGTGTATGAACTCTACAAGAATATAGTAGTTAAATAATATAACTCTGATTACAAATGTTAGTTCTGTTATAATAACATCTAGATCAGTTATAAAAATAGATACAAAAGGCTCTAGAGAGTTTATCTTAAGAATAAATTAGTTCTAAAGTTGAGACATTTGATCTAGGCATCTGAATATGATCCAATAAGTTAATACTTATTACAGGTTTAGAAGGTTTAAAATAAAACATCCAAGCAGAATAGTGCTTATTAAAATTTAATAAAAACTTGATTATTGAGTTTAAGCAATGCAGATCAGATCTTAAATTATTAAATTATTTTTTAATAATTTTACTATTACATATATATATTATATTAAATATAATATTTATTACTTATTAAACTCAATAAATTTTAACTCTATATACTAAAATTGAATAGCTTATTTGAACTTTATTTTTTTAAATATTTCAGATTTGCAATTTGCAAAGATCTTTAGATTAGTAAACTTTTTTTTATTTTATTTCTTTTGCAGTCTTTGCATAGATCCTTCCTTCTCATTCTTTCATATAGTTTTTCTAACTTTCTTTGTTTTTCTAATATATATAGTTTTTTGCTTTTTTTTGTTTTTTTTTTATTTTTGGTTCTAACTGTCTTTTCTTTTTGTCATTTATAGTCTTTACATAGATTCTTTCTTCTCATTCTTTATATAGTTCTTTCTAGCTTCTCTTGATCTTGTGATATATATAGTTTTTTAATATTTTTTTTTATCTTTAGTTTTAACTATCTTTTTTTTTGTTATTTGTGATCTTTATATGGATCTTTCTTTCTTATTCTTTTGTATAGTTCTTTCTGG